GACATAGGGATTGCTGATGTAATACTTGGTATGAAAATTACTAAAACATCATAAGAATATGCTTTGTCACAATCACATTATATTGAGAAAATACTTGATAAATTCAGTAAAGATGATGATCATCTTACCAGAACACTCGTGGATGTTAATTTGTTTCTTTCTCAGAATGTAGATGAAAGTATTTCTCAATTAGAATATGCTCAAATTATTGGAAGCGTAATATACTTGATGAACTGCACTCGCCCAGATATAGCTTATGCAGTAAGTAATTAAGTAGATATACGAGTAATCCAGGAGTAGAACATTGGAAAACTATTATTAGGGTTCTAAGATATCTTCGATTTACTCGTAAGATTAGGCTTAATTATACTAGATATCCAGCAGTACTTGAAGGGTACTGTGATGCAAACTAGATATCGGATACTAGAGACTCAAAATCTACCAGTGGGTATGTCTTTACTCTTTGTGGGGCGACTGTATCTTGGAAATCTTCCAAACAAACTTACATTGCTAGGTCTACTATGGAATTAGAATTTAAAACTTTAGATGAAGCTGGAAAAGAAGCAGAATAGCTTCCTCACTTCCTTGAAGATATTCTAATGTGGCCAAAACCGGTGCCTGCTATATACATATATTGTGATAGTCAATCAGCAATGGGTAGAGCACAGAGTTATATGTATAACGGTAAGTCATGACACATTCGTCATCGACATAACACCGAGAGACAACTACTTTTTAATGGAATTATTTTCATTGAATATGTGAAGTCTAAAGATAACATAGCAGATCCACTAACCAAATGGTTAACAAGAGAGTTAGCTGAGAATTCATCAAGGGAAATGGGACTTAAACCTATTAAATAAGAGTTACCACAACAATAACCGAGCCTAGTCGACTGGGGATCCTAAGATCTAGGTTCAAAGGGACAACCAAGTTGTGTATAACTCATAAGAATCACTAGGAAGTCAACTCCTACCTATTTCTATGATGAGCGTTTTAGGTTAAGTAAATACTTTTAATGATTCTAATATCTAGGAATAACTAGTGGAGTATGGCAGGATACTCTTCATAACAATCACCTATATGAGTGTGAACTGGGCCGGTTCTATGAGATTTGTGAATGGTTATAATTCTCTAGAGCACTAATGAAAGACCAGGTTGTTTAGGGCCAAAATGAACAAAATAATGAGAACTAAACTGTATCTATTAATATACTATGTGAGTTCTATTGTCTTGGTTTACACAATGGTTGAACAGTTCAAGACATCATATTCACTGGTTAGCTAGTAAATTTGATAATGTCTCACAAGGAAAGGTTCAAAGCCAAAAGCTACCTATCCTTTGCCGAATATTCCCAATTTTTGTACTTTCCGTAATTAGATTATGTTATTACATTTTCTCTCCGTCAAATTCATTCATATGGGAGATTATTGGAATTATGGTTTTATAGGCTTATTTTGGGCCAACTTTGAGCCCAAATTTGAGTGGGTCCCAAACGTTTTTTGGGGTGGGTTCAAAGAGATGACGTGTTCCTTGCCGCATGGCAAGTCACACGGTGAAGACGGTACATCAAAACTATTTATGAGTTAATGGAAAGTTGATATCGTTTTTGGGTTTGTGGAATGAACAATTAAAGAATAAAATGTGAGTTTCCTTATAAGGCTTGTCCCACATTAAAATTTTAAAAAAGCTTGTGTATGTATATAAGCTGTAGGTGGCAACACTTGGGTTGGGCCCCAATGGGCACCCCAAATTTGTAGAAGGGAAGAGTTATGGACAAAATAACCTTTGGCTCAAACTACCACACGCGCGCGCACCGTCACCGCCGTCTAATCGTGCTGGGTGTAGATTGTGGGTCGGGTCGGTTCTAATATTAATTTTTTCTTCTAAGAATTTTTTTTTTTTGAACAAAATTAATTCAAATTCTGCTCCAAAAATTGAATTCAATTTTTTATTTTTGTCCATACAGTGCCTTTTCCGGCTCTATTTCAGCAGGTTCAAACCATCTAAAGGACAGATTAAATTCCAGCAGGTTCAAACAATTTATACCTATTTAGTTTGAACCATATATGTTCAGTTCAAAATTTGTGTCTGTTCTATTTGGTTTTGTACCTGTTCGAATCTATCCAATAGATTCTTATTTGCCTATAAATAGAGATCATTTCCAGTAGATTTTCACAATCACAAACATCTAGGAAAGTTCCTCTCTTCTCGGTTTTGCTCTTTGTGTGCATATTGTTCTTCATACTAGTTCTTAGGGAAAAAATTCAAAGAGTAAAGAACACATGTTTTGTTCGTTATATAAATTGTTTGGAGTGCTACTATAATCTGTGTAGATCATTGTATCCTGAAAGATAGATGCCTTTTATCCGTAAACATCGAAGCAGGATGAATCTGTCTTAAGAACAGAGTGTCACACACTCAACTTGATCATTTGTGTATTTATTCACATCGGTAAATAAACTCTTTAAGTAATTTATTTTATTTATTTTATTTAATTTTAAATTATTTATCTTACACAGAAGATTATTCTAAGACACCCTTCTCCACTACCATCACGCCCAACCTGCCACCTGAATTCTAGTCATTGCAACCACTAAATAAGTACTTTAATTTGCAATATATTAGTGTGCTTGGCGCAAGTATTAACCATGACAATGCAAGTGGAGGAGTTATTGGGAAAATTAAGGTCATTTGGTGCTCAATAACATATTGTGATTGGTTGGTGGTTTTATGAATTGACATAATTATTCCTAGCTCTATCAGGAGCTTAGCAGATAAAAATAGTATAAATGCATCACGTCATGTTGTCCAAATTAACAAACAGTTTTTAATACAAATGGCCGCAAACCCAACGTATCGCTACCATTGTATTCACTCTCCCGCCCATTGTAGTCGCAACACCACTTTTTAAAAATTCTTAAAATTAGAGCACCCTTTTTCAATCCTTAACGATTTTCTCATTTTTGAGTGTTTTAAAAAAATGATTAAAAATTATTTTTTGACTTTTTTATGAGAGAGGAAAATAAATTAAAAGTTAAGAAGTGACTTTTAACTTACTTTTCAAAATAGCCCTTTATTAATAGAAAAATTAGAGCATCCTTTTTTAACTCTTAATGATTTTCTCATTTTATTAATGGAAAAATTAGAGCACCCTTTTTCAACTCTTAATGGTTTTCTCGTTCTATTAATGGAAAATTTAGAGCACCCTTTTTCAATGCTTAATGATTTTCTAGTTTTATTAATGGATTGAATATGATCGTGAAAGAAAGGTGGAGAAAGGAAAGAGAAAGAAAATGAGTGGTAGTTAAAATTTAAGACATAGAATTGTGTAATTTAATTAAGGTGAAATAATCTATTAGTGGTGGTAAAAAAAAATAATTATAAAAAAGTGATAAATATTATTAAAATTATAAATATTTTCATTAATAAGTAATTAACTTTTCGATTATCACCTATCGGTAATTTTCCCTTTAATTAATAGAAAAAGAAGCAAAATGGTTTCTCCTATTTTTTGTTCATTTGATTTGTATTGAAAAAAGAAAATTACCAATTTAATATTACATTATTAATTTTTTCTTACTTTCTTTTAGCTTATAAATATATTTTTTTCTTTGTTAATTCAAATTTTTTTTTTGTTAAAATAAATTGATAAATTCTATTATATACACCATTTGATAGGGATGTACCAAACAAAAATAAAATAAATAAGTGTGTCATATGCACATCTAATTATAATAATATTTTAATTATGATTCATAAAACTTTTAATTATATCTTATATTAAATATTTAATTATAATTTGTTTTTAATTATAATTCATAAAATATAGAATTATATTATTTATTTTTAATTAGAATATCCATATAACACGCCTACGATCTTTTCCAAAAAACTTTCATGGGTGGTCTTTTCATTTTATGGTCGTTTAATCTGATGACAGAGTGAAAAGTAGCCCTACCTTTGTAATATTTAAAGTGCAAACCCTCAACATTTTCCCTCGTCACACCACCCTACACGTGGCTTCCTTCCGTCCTCCAATTCTCTTCCTTCATTTCTTTCCTTTCTCTCTTTCTTTAATAATTTTTAGATGCAAATAGATATATATCATATGAAACAGATTCACTACATTTATATTGAAAATTTTAAAACATAATACACCTATAAGGATATATCATATATGAGTTTATAGATTGGTTTCTTAAAGTTTTATATATGTGGGTGCTTAGATTGGTTTGTTAAAGTTTTATTTATGTTCGTGCTAAGTGTCCAGTTATTTATAAAAAAAAAAACTTAAAGAGATAATGGAACAAAACTTAAACTTCAAGATTACAAATTTGATAGGAAGACTCTTATCGCATGAAATTACAATCATATATATTACATATTTTATTTTATTGTATTTATTTAATTTACATACGTATTGCTTGTGCGAACCTATTTATTTATGTCTTTGAAACATTGATTGGTATTGAGATTTGACTAAAAAATAATTTGAAAATAAGTGAAACAATTACAAAATATTTCCATAACGTGAAAAGTGAGCTGAATTTAATAAAAATAAATAAAAATTGAGGTATATAGGCCTATCTCTCCTCTAATCTTAGATCGGATTAGAGGGTGTTATTGAACTTGTAAGGGCTCATTACGAGTTTTATTTTGATAATTCGAATCGTTGAATATATAGAACTCATCGAATATTATATTCCTGTAAAAAATCACGTTGATCGAATATCGATAGTTATGTGATCAAATTAATTTTGTATAAAAAAAAGATAGCGAAAAAATAAATGTCTGACAGAAAACTAATCCGATGAAATAACTATCAATATCCGATTAAGATGATTTTTTATAAATATATAATACTCAACAAATTTTATACATTAAATAATTTAAATTATTAAAACAAAATTCATAATAAATCTCAACGGGCCCAATAACACTCTTCAAATTCGATGTGGGACCGAGGGGAAGCCCGTGCCTATATGTACTTGTGATTAGTGAGAGATATTGGGATATAAAAAATCTCTCATCTTTCTGTCTGTCGAAAGCCTTGAAGGTCTGTTCTCCTCTCAAAGTTGCGCAAGCGCCAAGTCATCGTCATATCAAAGGTTCTCACTCTGTATATCTCTCTCTTCTCTCTATCTGTAATCATCTACTGGTTAGAAATCTCTCAGCTTTCTTACAGAATTGTTTTCTTTTGCCACTCTGTCACGGACTCTTAAAATTTTTTCAATTTTTGTACAAAGATGATCAAATGCCCTGTTACCTGTGTGTCTTTATGAGTATACAACACCTATTCACACACATATATAGGGTGAATATTTTAGGGTTTTTTTTTTTTTTTTTTTTTTTTTTTTTTTTTTTGTGTGGTAGTGATGATTCTGCCATATAACTCTGCAGAGTTCATATGCTGTTGACAGATGGATTGCTCTGTTTGTCGTTTTTTTACTACTTTCCCCGAATTCGATGCCTTGGAAACTGATATCTTTCTCTCTCTCTGTTCTGTTTGTTTCTCTCTCTAAATTGGGTGACAGACACAAGATTTGGTTTTTAACATAATGGTTGGGCGGGAAGGGTTGGGGAGTGAAGACTTGGACTCGTGCTTTGAGAAGCTCTTGTTGGGAGGTGGTGGAATTGGAGGAGTCAAGATGAGAGGTGGTGGTGGTGGTGTGATCACAGAGTGGAAGGACATTCCCATGGAGCTCTTGTTGAGGATTGTAGATGATCGTACGGTCATCGTTGCTTCTGGAGTCTGTACTGGATGGAGAGATGCTATTTGCTTGGGCCTTACCCACCTCTCCCTCTCATGGTAAATATCTACATATATCTTTTTGCCCTCTTTTTGTCATTTTTTTATCCAATTCTGGTTCTTTAGGTTCATCATATTGGTTCTTTTTTTTTTAATTTTTTTTTTTTGACCCTTCAATCATCAGATGAAGATAGCCAATTTCTCAGGGTTACATTACAGGGTATAAATAGTAAATTTCTTTGCAATTAACTATGATGTATGTATTTTTAAGTATTTATTTTTTAGTTGATATTATTGAAATCAAGCATACACTGGTTATTTGTCATAATTAGTTACTAACAGTTCCTCCATTATTATAAGAGAAATGCCAAATGTTGCCGATTTGTTGTTACCATTTTGTATCGCCTCAAAGGTTAATTAATATTCATGATTGGTTCCTTTTTTATTTTGAAATAATTATTAAGGAAATAATAAAAATTCGAATTAACATTATGTAAGATGGGGATTTTTCATTTCTCCCTTTGTATTTGGGTGTTTGTGGTATGAATGTATCTCTTTTTAAAAGCCTAAGATATCTTTGCAAAGTAATTACCAACCAAGTTTACCCAAATAAAAGTTGAAATGCCAATCATCGACAAATTAATTGAACTGCCCACTATTTTTACATTATAAATTATAATGATAAGATCATAAAGCAAAATAATATATTTTTTTGGCAAAAGATTTTAAATCCATTAAAATTTCTTTACAAAATTAATAAATCTGGCCCTCCCCATCCCTCATCCCTCATCCCTCATCTTATGTCTTCCTGTTCTATAGTGTCTATCTGTGTATGTCTCCAGCATATTGAACAACATCCAATATACGCCATGTAATGGTTTTTAGATTTAGCTCCTGGAGTTGACATCGTCTTTGGTTGTGAATACTTGATGAGCCAATATGAACAATCACACATAAAATATGGGATTAAATTGAGGCAGGTTTGTATAATTGTGGGTAGTCTGTGAATATGTCTTCTGTTTCATGCACAAACTTCTACGTTCCACGATCCTTGATTATTATGTCTCAGTTGGCAGTTTGCTCTTTGTCCCACTATCTGAGCTGCCTGCAGGTCCTACTTTTGTCACTAACAAGTGAAAATTTTCTTTAGGTGCAAGAATGACATGAACAACTTGGTTTTATCTCTTGCTCCTAAATTCACAAAACTGCAGACCCTGATTCTGCGTCAGGACAAACCAAAGCTTCAAGATAATGCTGTTGAGACTATTGCAAATTGCTGCCACGGCCTTCAGGATTTGGACCTTAGCAAGAGCTTCAAGCTTACCGATCGCTCTCTCTATGCCTTGGCTCATGGTTGTCCAAATCTTTCAAAACTCAACATCAGTGGGTGTTCTGCCTTCAGTGATACCACTCTTGCGTATTTGGCTGGTTTTTGTAGAAAATTAAAATATTTAAATCTTTGTGGATGTGTGAAAGCTGCATCTGACAAGGCATTGAAAGTAAGATGGAGTTGGAGCTTGTTACTTCTGATTTGAGTTTACAAGTGACAGTTTTATTTTCTAACTTTAGTAAGCTATTTATGTGCAGGCTATTGGATGCAACTGCAGTCAGTTGCAGTCCTTGAATCTGGGATGGTGTGAGAATGTTGGTGATGTTGGGGTAAAGAGCTTAGCATATGGATGCCCTGATCTAAGAGCTCTCGATTTGTGCGGTTGTGTTCTTATAACAGGTATCCTATGTTTGCTATTGAAATAATTGGCATCTCAGAAATTTTTGTAAATTGTTGTTTACTTAAAGCGGTAACAGTGAAATAATTTAGCTGGCTCTTAGCTCAGATATCAGTGAATTCAACCTCCTTTATTGTGTTGTGTGTTCATTCCACAATTCACATGCATATTTAATATCATCGATGAATTCTAAGTCCTGTTTGTATGCTGGACGATTATAAATACTAAATAATTAGCTATATACAGAAAAGCGATCAAACAAAAGCCTTTATAGAATGTTGGAATTTGTACTTGCATATCCTTGTGTGCATGCATTCATATGGGAATGCTATGCTATGTTATTTAACTCTGATTATAGAATTGGTGCTGATTTTTGTATTTGTAGTGTATTATGATTCCGTGTGCCTCTCACAGATCTTGACTGGTTAATGTGAATTTGATCGCCTCTACATTAACAGTCAGAACTGACATCTCTATGTGCATACATGTGTGTATGACCTTCTAGGACCATGATCATGAGCAAAAGCTTTCTGTAATGTAACTAGGTCCAGCCTAACCTAATTTGAGCTGAAAGTTGTTAGTTTGGAGCTAGGCTGTATAAACTTCAGTGCTGGGATAGAAGTCAAGGTTGATTAGCCTGGTTGTTCTGTCATTGATTGTATAGTTTAATTTAGCTTTTGACGTAAAACTTACCTACTTGAATTGAGTTCCACCTGTCCTTGTGATGTATTGCCATATTTTTCTTTTTATTTTCAATTCATCAGTTCCACCGACAATTTGAGCATATCTTTATTTTGATTTTTATGTTGTCTGGTAAATTTAGATGTTTGACTCTTTTTTTTTTTTGGGCAGACGACAGTGTTATTGCTTTGGCAAACAACTGCCTTCATCTCAGATCCCTTGACCTCTACTATTGCCAAAATATCACAGACAAAGCAATGTATTCTCTGGCTCGCAGACGAATGACAAACAAGCGTGAAATGTGGGAGTCTGTGAAAAACAGGTGCGTGGAGGAAGAAGGGCTTATAAATCTCAATATCAGCCAGTGCACAGCCCTAACTCCCCCAGCTGTTCAGGCGGTATGTGACTCATTCCCTGCACTTCACACTTGCCCCGGAAGACATTCTCTTATCATAAGTGGCTGTTTGAACTTAACCTCAGTGCATTGTGCCTGCGCTTTCCAAGCACACCGTGCAGCCAGTGCACTTCCTCCTCCTGCTCATTGAGACGAGTATCCAAGGTAAAAATCTGAGTTTTGGTTTATTTTGCTCAAAAGGGATAAATCTAGCCCGTTGTATATATGGTTGTGTTGAATGTTAAGATGACTCAAGATGGTTACATTCCGTAGCTCTTTTGTTGTTTGAACTTAATCCTGTGAATTTGTTTGTTGTATGCATTTCAGATGTATTTTTAATGCTTTTCCAACAATGTTTTATATACTTTAAAAATGGTGTAATGGCTTGTAGCAGCTGTGTATGTGTGTTGAATTTTGGTCGGAAGATGGATTGTTCAGTACCTCACATTTTGGCAGGCCAAGAACTGCTGGCTAGGGTCTCGTCATCGGCGAAGTTGTCATAAATTGAAGAACAACTTGATTTTCAGAAGAAAAAAAAAATTAACTACATTAGACAAGATTACCTATGTTCATGAAAATCTTAGCGAATCAAATCTGAGCAAGAACGGTGGTATAGCTTTCGTCCAGTACAGACATAATAAACCTTTTTAGGTGTGTTTGTTTTGAAGGATTGAGTTATGGGATTGGATTAATAGTTCATCCGGATTAATAATTTGTTGTTTGGTTTAAAAAAATTTCACTGGACTATTAGTTTCAAATTTGTTGAACTATTGTGTCCCATGGGGGGAGGGGGATACAAATGAGGGATAAGGGGGACATGGGATTAGATGGTGAAATGACTATTTTGATCATCTACTATTTAATTATATATTATATTTAGTAAAATTAAATAAAATTTAAATGTCTCAATTTAAAAATAAAATAATTCTTTTTAATTTTTATTGATGTTTTATTTATTTAATTTTTTAAATAATTTTTTATTGATATTTTATTTTAAAATTTTGTTTATATTTTATTTAATTTCATTATTTAAATTTTAATAGATGTTTTATTTAATTTCATTATTTAATTATTATTATTTTTTAAAATAAATTTATTTAAAATTTTAATTAAAAAATAACATATTTTTGGAGAAAATTAATCTAAAGTCCCTTTTTCATTTTTAGTAATGGGAGAGACTCACAATATTATTTTATGATGTCTAAGGTCCCTCACACATTTCCATACATCTACCTCCATATTTGATCTTCTTGGAGAAAAGAATGCAGAGACTAGTCTTTGAATTCAAGATTTCAAAATTTGGTTTTCTTCCTCGCCGGATAATTTGACAAAGGCCTCTAACTTCGAACTGACCACTATATATATATACACAAAATCCTCCATTCATTTTCTAGGGTTTTCAAAGATTTCTAGCCCAGACCTCTTTTGCCATGGGGATGAGTAAGTGCCTTTTCGCTCTATCTATCTATTTATCTAAGTGCCTTTTCACTCTATCTATCTATCTATATCTATATCTATATATATGTATATGTTTGTGGTTGCTTAGATTTGTATCTATCTGAATTTTTTACTCTATGGTTTTCTGTATATTCATAGATCCATTGAAGATTTGAATTTTCTAATCTAAAAATGTTTTATTCATTGTGCTTGTTGTTTTATTGAGTCTTCAATTGATATCCATAATTCAATTTTTCGTGCGGTGCTAAGAAATCTGAGAAATGTGTATTTTTTTTTTTCTTCTGACCCAAACACTACCCCTGTTGATTTCTAAAATTCTTATTAGATTGGATGAGCTTGATTGTGAACTCAGATCACAACTAGCTAGGCTTCAATGAACTTGATGTTGGCTAGCTAGAGTCATTGCGAACTAGAATTTCACTTCCACGAACTTGATTATGAGATGTGATTCAAGATTGTGAAGACACATCCAAGGCTAGGGTTTCTTGGATCAATGTACGATCACCAAGGACTGTTCATAAAAATATAACATTGCTGCAAATAGAGAGAATTTCTCTAGTTTCAATCCAGAGAATTTCTCTAGTCTCTCTGGTTTTGAGAGAATTTCTCTGGTTTGGATCCAGAAATTCTCTGGATTGAACGAACATCTTCTTTTTGACATCCAGAAGGTTCTACATGAGCATTTGCACCCTGAATATGCCTATGAAGAGGCCAATGTTTACATTTTGCGAAAGAAATTGTAGCTGTAGCACACAAATATCTAGTAAGTCTTGGAATTCGGAGTGGAGACAAATTGTTCTATTCATGGAAAATTTCTTGTTAGAACTAAATTTAAGTAGAGAAAACTTTATTTGAAATTTGTGATTGTTGACTGCTTCAATATTATTTTGTGGGTTTGTTAGTAAAGATTGCATTGTTGGCTTACATATTACACAAAGTTAGAGAAATTCTTTGTGAATAGAGTCAGAGAAATTTGTGAACTCAAAGAAATTTTCTCTGACTCTATTCACAAATTTTCTCTAAATAGAACTAGACAAATTTTCTCTACACAATTTTCTCTAATACAATTTTCTCTGAATAGAGCCACAAATTTTCTTTAATACAATTTTCTCTAGATAGAGCTACACAAAGCCACACAAATTTTCTCTACACAATTTTCTCTGGATAGGACCACACAAAGCCACACAAATTGTCTTTAAGACAGTTTTCTCTAAATAGAGTCACACAAAGCCACACAAATTTTCTTTAACACAATTTTCTCTGGATAAAGCTACACAAAGCCACACAAATTGTCTCTATCACAATTTTCTTTGGATAGGGCCATACAAAGTCACACAAATTTTCTCTGGATTTTTTGGTACTCAGAGAAAATTGGTCAAAATGGTGGTTGTTCAATTTTCTCTGGTTTGTTGTTGTCTAAATGGCTTATAGTCTGGTTTGATCAAAAACGCAGAGAAAAATATGAGCAAACTAGAGGAAATTGGTCAAAAACATAGAAAAATTTTATGGAAAGTCCAGAGCTACAATTTTCTCTGGATAGAGCTACACAAAGCCACACAAATTTTCTCTAAATAATTTTCTCTGGATAGGACCATACAAAACCACACAAATTGTCTTTAATACAATTTTCTCTGGATAGAGCCATACAAATTTTCTTTAACACAATTTTCTCTGGATAGAGCTACACAAAGCCACACAAATTGTCTTTACCACAATTTTCTCTGGATAGGACCATACAAAGCCACACAAATTTTCTCTGGATTTCTTGATACTTAGAGAAAATTGGTCAAAATGGTGGTTGTTCAATTCTCTCTGATTTGTTGTTGTCTAAATGGCTTACAGTCTGGTTTGATAAAAAACACAGAGAAAATATGAGCAAACTAGAGGAAATTGGTCAAAAACACAAAAAAAATTTATGGAAAGTCCAGAGAAATTCAGAAATTTCTCTAGAGATAATTTCTTTAGAGAGAGAATCTATAGGAGATCCAGAGAAATTGTCTAGAAGGTGCAAAGAAATTCTGAGAAATTCCCAGAAATTCTCTAGAGAGAAAATCTCTGGGAAGTTCAGAGAAATTCTCTGGGTCGAATTTTTTCTGAATCGATGTTGAAGGACCTTAGATATTATGAAAATATTGGGTGTCCTTTATGTTATAAAATCTTAATACTAGGGGCTTTAAAAAAAATTCCTATATTTTTATTGATATTTTATTTATTTAATTTTTTAAAAATAAATTTATTTAATTGTGTAAAAAATAAAATAAAATAAATTTTTATTTAATCTAGCTAAAAATAATTAAAATATTAAAGATATGTTTAATATTGCTAATACTTAGTAAATAATTAAAAAGGGTAAAATAGTCATTTGAGCATTTATCATTTTCTATAATATCCTAAACAAACATAGGATTCATATCTTATTCAATCAAATAGTCTTTTCATGACATTTAATCTTATAACTAAACAAACATGGAATACAAATCCAGTCTAATTAAATAATTCGGAGACGATGTATTCTAAGACTAATAGTCTGGTGGATTACAATCTTTTCTTATCCAATCATCCAAACAAACACACCAGACTGTTAGTCCTGGGATATATTATTCCCGGACTATTTGATTAAACTGAATTTGTATCTTATGTTTGTTTAATCATGGGATTAGATGTCTGGATTAAATTATTCTATTGAATCTTATGATTGTTTAGTTATAGAATTAGATGTTTAGATTGGATTATTCTATTGATTTCTATGTGTATCCTATGTTATTTAATTTTTTTTTTATAATTTTTACTAAAACTTATAAAAAAAATTAAATAAATAGAATATCAATAAAAATTATATAAATTTATTTTAATTTTTAGTTGAGATTTTTTAATACTATTTTAATTTGAACTTTTAAATAAATTGAACTTTTACTTTTATTTTTAATTAAATAAATTGCATAAATTGAACTTGTAATTATATTTTTGGTTTAATAAATTGAATAAATTGAACTTTTAAAGGGGCTTATAATCCATTTGACTGTTAATTTAATTTAATTTTTAGTTGGGATTTTTAAATTTTATTTTAGTATACTAAGTATAATTAAAAATAATATAAATAAAAATTTGAGGGCAAAAAATGTCATTTTAACCTTTCAATCCGGAAGAGTTATCCCACCCTTTTTATCCCACACCCCCCATGGGTACAATAATCTCACAAATAAATGATTAATAGTCCAGTTGAACTATTAGTTCAATTTATATTTTTTGAGCCAAATGTCAGACTATCACATGCAATGGATATGGAATCCTATCCCACACTCTAATCCCCCCAAACAAACACGGGTCTAGTTTGGTCCATTAAGGGTCTCCTTTGTTGATCCAAATCATTCCGTTCAAATGGCTTTAAAGATAAATGTGATCTAAATATGTAATTATTGATATTTAATTAATTTAACTTTTGAATTAATAATTTATTTAAAATTGAATTAACTTAATTTTTTAGTTTAATAATTTGCTCAAATTATAGTTTTGTTGAATAGTTTGGATCAACAAAGTAAATTTAAAATGGTCTTTAAAATTGACTTAACTTAATTTTTTACATTAATAAGTTGCTCAAAATTGAATAGTTTGAATTAATTTATTTAAATATTTAAATAAATAATAAATGTATTGAGTTTTACATGCCAAGCTTATTCAAGCTTGAACTTATTTATTTCTTTATTTAACAAACTGAGCTGTTATTGAGCCGAGCCAAATAAAACTAGGGAGTGGCTCAATTCATTTGTAAACCTAACTCCCATGACTTACACAAGCATTTCACACACGCAAGTATGCACAGTTGGAGAAATTGGAAAACAGAGATGAGCATTTAGCACACAGGTGAGGCCAAAGAACAACAGAAATCTGTAGCTTATTATTACTGAACAATTAGAGATTAATGTAACAATTTTATGTCATCTTCGGCAATAACACGTGCCAATTAATTTAACCAAGCCCTCAAGTTAGCTTAACTGCGATAAAAGCATATAACTGACAATGATACAATTACAAGGGGATGGGGATGCCCAACTGGGACAAGAAATTTGTATTTTTCACCCCAAGAAAAAAAATAAAAATAAAAAAGGAAAAACACATTTAGAATTACATTGGGATTAAGCAAGCCAATAATCAAACACTAAAATATAGACACTGATGGGACCCTAACAATTTAAAAACTCAGTCATCACATTGAACAATTGATAACCATTTGTTGAAAGTAAAGCAAGGCCAAATAATAAGTCTTTTCTTTAACCCATTAGCTTGATCATTCTTCAGGGTCCTTAGAACCTGTAAGAGAAAACAGCTATTTTAATATATATATATATATAATAAAATAAAAAAGTGTTTCATGCCAAATTTATGACAAGGATGACCAATGAATGACAAAGCACAACCTTAATGTGTGGTCTAAACGTTCTCAAAGCGAACAACCACACAAGTAATGTTGTCAGAGCTCCCTTTTGCATAGGCTGCTTCTATAAGTTTTCTTGAAGCTGCTTCTGCATCAGCTATATCCTGCACTATCGCCACCGCATCCTGAATGCACGAGAAATATAGTACTTAGCTGCCTAGATTCCATATGCAACAAATGACAATGAGAATTTTTTTTTTTTTTATGATTTTATTTATCACCCATGGTTATGAAAGTTGGCAAGCTTCTTGGTGGAGAAGACATTTTCTAGAGAACCAACCACCAACCTAGTATATAGATATATTGATAAGTAAAAAATCATTACAAAATGCCAAAAGGGCATTTGTCTTTTAATTCTATCTTAAAGGTTATTATCAGTCCGCTCTAAAAAATAAAAAATAAAAAATAAAAGTTATTATCGGTAAAATATATTATTTGCCAGTTTGTACGAGCAAAATTGTCATTTTACTTTCGTAATGGTCTATCATGGCAGCTAAGTCTTGGCCTAATTATTGGCAACATATCCATTTCCATCCTCGTCAATTTCTCAAACCTCAGGTGGATTTTTGCCTAATTCTCAAACCCTATGGGAGGTCATTGCAATTCACCCAAAGAGCTCATGGTATTTTGGCTCCTATGAAGCAATTGATGACTGTAAACAATAGTTCCATGCTTCCCTTACAAGCTCATCCAGGTCTTCCAACCAAAAAAGGGGCTCTTCGGGTTCGAAAATTGAGTTTTAATCAAGAGATGGGTGTATAAGCAAATATCAAGGCAACACACACACACACACACATATACATATATGAAGCATAGACACGAATACATGACACAAGTATGACACGATACTGATATGTTGATACAAAAATTCTAAAAAAAAGGTAGGACACAAATACTTTAAGGATATGATGATATATATGCGTCCGTCTGTATATAGCCTTTCATAGAGTATAATAGCAAAAAAAAATTCATGTAGCCGATCTCACTTGATTGGAAACACAAGGTTTATTTTGGTTTATTCCAACAATTATACTTAATAACACATAAATGGCCCATCTTAATTTCAACATAGGTTAGATACTTATGTCGTGTTTGGATCATGGATTTGGGTAAGGATTTGGATATGAAAAAGAAAAAGCGGGGAAATGGATAATTTTTTTAGCTTATGCTTCATTTACATTTCCCTTTGCCTTGCCAAATTTCTATCTAAATTCATGATTCAAAAACAAGCTTAAAGTATCCATATGGTATCTAATACTTGCTAAAAATTGAAAGAAAATTAATTTCTAATTGCCGATACATTTAGGAAGTATCAGAACCTAAGTCACCAACTCGTTGAGCACAAGCAGGAGTGGGAGCAGCAGCAAGAGTGTCAATTCTCAAAGTTTTGGGGTTGAGAGTGTCTTGTCTTGAGAGCATCTATATTATATAAATATTATATTAAATATAATTAAATATTAATATTATAAAAAGCATTTATATATTAAAATCATCAATATTTATTCTGGCCCAAGCCTTTGTTTCACATATATGATTTATTCAGGAAAAAAAAAAATTTTAAAAAAAAGAAGAAACTTTTGTAGCCATCTTTTGTGAGATGATGTACTTATTAGCTACTTCCGTTGTCTAGGGATGTAAAATATCATGTGATTTGGGCATAGTAATTAAAGTGAAGAACAACAGTGTGATTACTGCAGAGTGCAGAGAAAAAGATAGGAGAGTTATAAAAGGAAACAGATGTATCATAAGCCTCTGAGAAACAAAGCTCTCAAAATTTTGATTTGTGCAACAGGTACGTACCTTATTTGATAGGACGTTCCAAAGTCCATCGCTAGCAATTATAATAAAATCAACACCATCAATTTCTTCTTCCTAATCACAGGAAAGATAATAAACGTGATTTGTTAGAGCAAAATTAAATTTTGCATACAGATGAGCAAAATTGGTAAGTTGAAGTCTTGTACAAGGGCACGAGTCCTCTGACCTCAAATCCCTTTGTCTCCCTATCCCAATGCACTTCCAACTGCCTTGAGATTTCCATATGATCCAATAGTTGGGAGTGCATTGGGACAGCAGCAGGACAGGGGGATTTGGGGACAGGAGATCCTTTGCCTTGTACAAGTGATCTATTTGGCTTGAGTTAAATGGACAGCATGAGTAGGTAATAATTAAACACTCAGCTTCCACAGAGCTAACCACAGCTCCCACTTAAATATTTAAGAGTTAATTACTTAAAAGTCCTATTTACAAATGTTATGATAGCTTAGGACCTACTTAAGATTTTTTGAACCAATAAGTCCTATTTAGTAAAACTGAAAATATTATCAGTTTTTCCCAATTTTTAAAACTAAGAACATTATCAATTTGCATAATAATGTTCTAGATAATTGTTTCACTAATTGATAAAAAAAATAGAGCATGAGAATAAATGTTTTTGCCCTTCTATTTATTGGTTTAATTTAACTATCCAATAAAACTGAAAACATTATCAATTTTTTCATTTTTTTAGGTGTTTTTTTTTTTTTTTGCATATCAATTTTCCATGATCATGCTCCTTTGTAGACACAAAATTTTTAATTTTGCACAAAAAAAATAATTCAGTTTTTTTAATTTTTTTCAAAAAAATAATTTAGTTTTTTTTCTTTTTCACATTTTTTTTTCTAGTTTTTTCAATTTGAAAGTTGATGTTTTAAAATTTTGAAAATCAAAATACATGTCAAATCATCATGTTGCTTTATAGATAATAATAAATGATGAACAATTAATGTTTGAAAGGCAATTCCGACTATTAAAAATTTAATGAGACTTGAATTAGTTAAGACTTAATGGAGTATAAGTTCACAAATTAGAACATGTGTGTAAATGCCCCAATATTTTAATTTTCAGTTCTTGATGACCTGATTAGTATTTAGTAGTAACTCAAAGTAGGAAATCAGATAATGCTCCTGGAGGTCAACTGATCTGAAGAAACAGAATATCTTTCACATCAAGTCCAACATCGTTACTTAAACACACATTATTTTAAGCCTTTTTTTTCTTCTTCTTCTTTTTTTATTTTTTTTAATTTATCAAAAAACCTAATTAATTGAATTTCCTGATGCATGTTTCAGTTTGTCTTTACACATGTATGTTTTTAAATTCAAGAAGCATTTTGATGCATTACCTGAATTTCAGGTTCAGCTACAACATATGGCTTAAGTAGTTTATCTCCAAATGCACGAGAAACTGCAAGAACACCACCAACCCGCCACGTTCCTAAAGAAGTTCAGCAACAATGTGAGTAATTCATATCAGGAAGACACTAAGCTATGCTAGCACCAATTAACCAAGGAATAATCAGTGACATACAATGCATCTATAATTTTTATGCAATCTAATAATAGAGAATTTATATTTTCAGCAATGTATCAAACTCTAGAAATCATCCCCTCATCAAGACAACAATACCATGAAAAGTCTAATGTAGCAGAAATCTCAAAGCCACCACAGCAGCAAAGACTGTGCATACCAAAAATCCACACATTATAGAAGCCATCAGAGAAGTCAGTTTTGTGATCATGATGACTTAATATTTCTAACACTCATTTTGCAACCTGTATAATTAAATCACAAGTAAAATTAACATGATCTATATAAACTCCACTTCAAATTAGCACGGTTAAATTACAACTAATCAATAACAGTACATAAAAATACACTAATCATGTGGTGCTGACAAATAAATTTCAAACAGTCAGCAGCATAGTTACTGCTGAACTTCCCATCACATAGATAAACAAACTTACACCATACACCACACACCAAAATTAGATATAACAATTAGACTCCAAAATGGATTATGGCTGGGTTTGAGGCACATAACAGCAGAGTAAGGATGGCTATGGGGGAGGAATTGATTATACAATTCAGAATGGGGATAGGTTGCAGTTAACCCCATTGCATCCCATCCCATCCCAATTGTTTATTTCACAAGAGGCCTCTCCAGCACAGATCGGTTATTGAAAGAATGGTAAGGCTTTCTTGCCTCTATAAAAAATCTACTTTTGTCATTTTTATAATTGAAAAAATAACAAATGGCATTTACATATTATAAAATCAAATCAACACAATCAATGGTATTACATAATATGTGAAATAATTGAGGATCATTCCCTATGCATTGTAAAATTACATTTGAAATAGAGTACTAAAAGAATTTTTCAAAAACTCAAGGATCATCCCATCTACATTGTAAAAATGCCCTTGAAATAGAGGGCCAATAAAAAAACTTTTCAAAGACTTAAGGGGACCATTTCATATACAATATCAATATGATCTTAGAAATTATTGGGTAATAATAAAATTTTGAAGAACTCCATGATATTCAAGCTGAAGTCTTTGAGCAAGGATTTCAGCCTTCAAGATGGAAAAAGTTTACAATAGCATAAAAATTGAGTCAACTTGCTCAAGGAAAGTAAAACCAAGCTTCAATTCTATATGCCCGAGGTTCAGAAGTTCAACTTCTAAATTTTATCACTCTGGAAGTTTGGAAATTGGGAATGAAACTAAAACAAGATATATCATGAATTTCATTAAGTTAAAAACCATACTCATGTCAGAATTACTCAAACAACACAAATAACAAAGCAAAGAAACTACTTTTCAGTATATCTCAAAAAAAGTGTTTCACTTTCAATAGAACCAAAATTTTAATAATCTTGAGATGGGTCTTAAATATCAAGAAATTGCGTTCAACATAACCAAATAAATGAGTCAACTTGCTCAAGGAAATTAAAACCAAACTTCAATTCTATATGCACGAGGTTCAGAAGTTCAACTTCTAAATTTTATCACTCTGGAAGTTTGGAAATTGGGAATGAAACTAAAACAAGATATATCATGAATTTCATTAGGTTAAAAACTATACTCATGTCAGAATTACTCAAACATCACAAATAACAAAGCAAAGAAACTACTTCAGCGCCTATCAGCTTTTGGCACAACTACACACCACAAACAGACACACGTAGACAGAGTTGGAAATGAAAGACATGATTTACCTGCCCAAATGATGAAACCCCCAGCTTGTTCAATTCTTTGGCGTTCATCAGATCTATCAGGTTTGTGGTCAATAGACAAAGGGATAGCTGCATGAGGAACACCAAAAAATACGAAAGGTTAAAAAATATATTATTACATTTTCAATGCATATTCAGCCCATCTAAAAGAACTAAAACCAACAAAAATCTGCACTAATACTTTGTGAATGGTAGTGTGCTTTCATAACCCCACTTCCTATCATACCACAAAAGAGCAAAAATCATAAATTTGTGCACAACCAAACAAGATCAGAGCAGCATAACACAGTTTGTTATAAATCAGCAAGGCAATTTTCTCATTCGTGACCAAGAAAATGAATAATGAAGTATGCTGCAACAGGTGCAAAATCAAAGCCTTGGAGAAAGGATACAACAAGAGGGATAAGTTAACACTAAACCAATATATATATATATAGAAACAATGCAACAAAAATAAGGTTGGAGTGTGAGAACATAATCCTTATATTAGACAAGCCCAAGAATAACTCTAAATATTTTCATAAATGAGAGGGGGAACTTGATCACAATGAACTCTAGAAAGTGTATCTATATCTCAGACCCTTTTTTTTCCTTGAAAAAAAAAAAGGAATATGCAAGAAGTAAAGTATATAAAAGCCAACATTCCAAGCAAAACAGCAGTAGAACCCAAGGTAAATAATGGGCTTGCTTGGTCTTAGCACCATAACAGATTCTAAATAATGTCGTTTAGACAGTAAATGCAAATGCATAGATGAGATTGAAGTCAATAAGACCTTATTTGAGTAGAGCCAGATGGTTTATGGAGACATTTTCATTTTCCATGATATATTTTAATAGAGGAAAAGCTTTACATGGTAAGCATGGTCTAAAACAGTATACCATTTTATATCCACAAAATACCCAACCACGCAAAAAAAGGTAATGGGTAGGAAGTCAGAAACCAATTCGAATAACAAGTGAGCAATGCAAATGTAATGCTTATGTAATATTAAAAAAATAAAATAAAATGAATGACAAAATGTTGAGTTTAGGACAAGATGTTATTAAGATGGTTTGCAAGGCACTAAAAGTTTGACTTGGACTAAAAAAGCATAATCACTCACTCAGATAAGAATAATGGGAGTAAGAAGTTCAGCTGAAATGTCACCATTTTCTAGGAAACCAAAACTAAATTAGTCGAATACTTGGGCTCTGTTTGGAACGATTTCCAAACGAGTTTTCTACTCCCACATTTAAATATGATGTTTGGATAGGTATGTGGAATTAATTTTCCACAACTCTGCAGAAAACTTTGTTTGAGAGCGCGATTTTCAAAAAAAAAAATTCGAAATTTGGCCTAACCGGTAGTCCCACCGGTCGTCCGGCCGGTTGACCGGAACAGTGCAATTTTTTTTTTTTGCAATTGATATGTTAATTTTTATATATTCGAAAAAAATATTTTCCGAATTTTTTAAAACTTTTTATGTGCTTTAATAGAATTTTGAGTTGTATGTTTGATTATGAGTTGTAAGTTTTTGTATCAAATATCAAATGTCACATCAAAAATTTCCCACTCCAATCAAAACTATTTTTAAAACTCTTTCACCAAACAAATTTTTCACACTCAAATCATAATTCCAAAACTCACAAACTTAAAATACAACTCATATTCTCAAATCATAGTTACAAAGCCCTACCAAACGCAACCTTAAATTCTAGTATTTTCACCAAAACACTATAAAACATACCTAAACAATGAGTTGATTCAACACTTAAAAGAAATATCTAATGACGGTCATTTCTGTTATCCTCGTTTTGTCTAAAGAAAGATTTGAGAACCAAGAAAAACATAGAATTTATTATAAAATTTGAGAAATTGGAAAAAAGAAAAGGAGAGATGAAGAGGAGAAGATAAAACAAGTGTAATTACGTCATTCATCCCTTTATTTGTTACCGCAAAGCTCTTTTTTTATGAGGATTGTCACCAGTACTTTTTGTTTTCCTTTACATCCCTACAACTACTAGAATTTTGCATTTTTTAATGTTTTTTCTCAAAATGGCAAACTCCCTTCCCCGACTAAGCCTTTAAATCTTTTAATTATGAGCTTCTAATATTCATAGACCTCAAGATGTTCAAGTATCTAATTATTGAGAATGTATATATAGTTTTTAGTTTCTATTTCCAAACATTTTGATACACTCTTTTGTCTTTTCTCTCATGTTTCCAAAATGTTTCCATTTCCAACCTAACTAAAATAATATACCTAACCAAAATTTTGATCCTTGTCTAATTTAATATCATTTTTCTGTTTTCTCCACTTTCCATAAGATGTTGAGAATTTCGGGCTCAATTGATCCCACAAAGTCCCATTCTGCAACAAAAACAGTTCATCATGGAGAAGATAACCAACCTGAACCAGCTCTACAAGCAACTACTCTGGAATCTCCCACATTTGCAACAAGAAGCCGATCACCTAGTAACATAGCTGTTGATGCAGTTGAACCAGCATCTTTTTGCTGGCCTTTTTCTTCATTAAGGTAATCAACATCTGTCTGTCTAAATGACTCAACTGCAGTCGAAACATTTTACAATTAATAATAGAAAAAGCAAAGCTGAGTAGTGTCAAATCAGGCATTAAACACAAATGAAGCCCCACATTTCATACCAATAGCTGATTTAGTGTCTTTAATAAAATCTGGATGGCTACTTAAATTCTTGAAAAGGTTGTTCTTAAGATATTCTGCTGTTCTTGAACCACCATGACCTAATTGGAGATGCACAAAAAAACCAAAAGATCAAAAACAAGTAGGCAAGTTTTAATACTTCCTTAACACGGTTACATAAATTGATTTCCACACCAAAAAAAGAGAAGAAAAAAAAAGAAAAAAAAGAAAAAAGGAGTAGAAGAAGACTATAATAAAGACACTGTATGAGAACGATAAAGTAACACAAAATTTAAAAGCATCGTCAACCATGAACCTTGCATCTGATAAAAGAACAACTTATAAAAAATATTGCAAGGGGTTGTATAAAAAAATAAAAAAAATAAAAAAAAAATTTGACATACCATCAAATACACCAAAAAAAGCAACCATCTGGCCATCAACTTCTGATATTCTTGTCTCATAAAAATCCTCCATTGAAGATCTTTTACCTTTGAAACTGGAATATCCATAGCTGAATCTTGCATTTTTGTTTCCAGTAAGGAAGCTACACAAAAATAAAAAAAAAGAATGGTTTATTTTCCATTGAATATTAATCACTTAATTTTAGAATCATATCAACTCTACACAAATGAATACTTTGCCATTTGCCCTTTTTTTCTTTTTCTTTTTTTGATAAACGAACCTTTCCATTTGCCTTTAATAACCATAGAATCATCTAGATCTGGAAAATCTAACCAAATTACCAAATCCACTAATTTAAATAGGTTCATGTTTGGCTTTGATTCATGTTTAACCCAAATCCAAACCTAGTATTTGAAATTTAAGGGTGCATTTCGTATTGTCTGTTCTTGGAAATAACAAATAAAAACTGATACGGGAAACTTGTTTGGAAAACTGTTTTTGGAAAATTTGCCATTTGCCTTTACCCACCATAGAATCATCTACACCTGGTAAATCTAACCAAATTACCAAATCCACTAATTTAAACAAGTTCACGTTTGGCTTTGGTTCACGTTTAAACCATATCCAAACCTAGTATTTGAAATTTAAAGGTGCATTTTGTATCGTCTGTTCTTGAAAATAACAAACAAAAACTGATACCGAAAACTAGTTTTAAAAAAAAATTCCCTGAAAACAACCCTTTTTAGGAAATACTTTAAAGTTGATTTCTAATTTTCAAAAATAGTTTTTGCACAAAAATGAAAAACAATTGGTGCTTTCGAATTTTTCATTGATTTGGTTTCCAAAAACATCAAAAATGAAAAATGATACCAACCAGGCCCTAAACTTTTCCATCATTATTATATCAATACATATTTCCTTTTAAAAATATTTTACATATTCGTTTTTAAGTTAGTTGTGGTAGTACACATTGTTTTTTTACAAGTACGGTCTTGTTTGGACCAACACAAATTTAAATATCAACTCATATGAATTGAATCGTGAATCGTAAGTTTCTAACAACCATGGACACCATCATATCATGTTTTTCAAAATCTTCAACTATCTTCCAACTTATATTTGCTGCAACCTCCAATGTAGATGTCTTTCTTTTTCCTAACTTTGCTCACATTTTCCACCAAATTCAATACCATTAAGCATGGTTCAAAATATCAGCCAGTTCATCGCGAACAAGTCAATTTATATCAGGTTTTTAGCCTTCCAATTTGGATACTACCTGATAGACAATGCAAATAAATATCACATGCTAACTATCTAGTTCACAAGACGAACGGCTTTGAAACCGATATTTACACTGATGCTCTTCTAAACCAGCCTCATTCATTAAATAAATAGCTGATTCAGACACTTAAAATAGACCGTGGTCTTTGGCTTTTTTATGTTGGCATTTAAAAGAAAACCTTTGGTCTTTAGTCAACATGAGACGAACATGTTTGGAGGGCTTCTTTATGTAAAGAAGGTTAGAGTTGAGGAAGTGTTCTTCAAGCAATGTGGGACTTGAGTCTCCGAAGCTAGATTTCTTGATGAGATAAGGCAATACAATTGGCATAGTCTCAATGTGAAGCTTTCTTTTCGAAGTTACAAGTAGGATGACTACACTATATTCAACCATTTCACACCAGCAGGCAGCAGCACATGGGCCACTATGTAGTAGAGGTGAATCACCCTTTGATATCAATGTCTTGGAAACAAAGTCATCCATTATACTATGCCGAGGCGTTTTAGAGGCAATTCATACCACTTCGTAAGACACTGAAATCCTTCTCAAATGGACACCAACCCTCTTCTTTTTTAGTTCAAAACCACATGAAAATGGTAATAAATAGAAAGGGATTACAGAGTTGGTTTTGTTACTTCACCATTGGTATCCATATGGCCCGGGGATTTGAAGAACATTCACCACAAATTTCATTTATTGAGACAATTATAAAACTTGAGTACAAAATTGTGCATTATAGAATTTTAGAAGACTTGTGACAATTTTTAAAAATTCATGATCGCATCACCAGATTCCAATACATATTACTTGATACTTCTGATACTATTAAATGCCGATACCAATTCGTTTACCAACACTACTATTACAACCATGCCCTCAAGGCACAACACTAAGGAATGGAAGATGAAACCAAAAACTCTAAGAGACAAATAATAGTATTTGTTCCCTAACAAAGTACTACCTAAACAAGTAATATTCTACAGACTAAGAATTACAGAGTTGAAAGAAGAAAAAAGCCGACAACATATTAAAAATTCAGGAGAATATAGAAAGAGTTGATCAAATAATTGTCAAAAAACGCTATAAAAACAGAGAATTGAAAGTAATTTCACAATCATATCCAATGATAATTCGGATTGGATAACTACCATGAAGTAGTCGTTAATTAGGGAATGAAAATAAGGGCATGAACCTGATACCACCGCCGCTGAAGAGGGCATCGGGATCCCTAGATGGGATCACGACCTTGGATTGTGGTTGCGGTGGTGGTGGTGGTGGTGGTGGTGATGGCGGCGGTTGTGGGTCCACCGTGGTGTCGCCGGAAGGGGGAGCGGGTGGGACATCTGCCGCCACGGACGATTTGGTCAGATTGGTGCTGACGGAGGCGGAGGCGGAGGCGGAGGAGGGAGGATCTTCAACGTTCATGCTCGCCGCATTTCCACTTTTGGTAGATGGTTGTGATGTATATTTATGTATTGTATTTGTACGTATAGGCCTTCCTCCTGTAGGATCAAATACTATCTATGTAGCATATTATTGGTAGGATCTACGATGGTGAATTTGTTTAAAATTTTATTATTATATGACACATTAATTAATTAATTAATTAAAAGATTTATATCGTTAAGTGAAAAAAAAAAAAGTAAGAAAAAAAATTATAAAAATCTAGAATTTTGTATAATATTTATTTTATTGCTATTAGATACACTTAAGTGTGCCACATTAGAAATATTTTTTTTTTCAATATTTCAAGAAATTAAATTATTTATCCAAATAACCTACATTTAAAATGGTACTCAATTCATAAATCTAATTTCAAAAACGGCATGCTTCTTATTTGTACAAAATTGACGCATCCCCTCAATCTCTCTCTCTCTCTCTATCCCTCTATCTCCTCTTTTCACCTCGTTCACCTTCATCCCCTTCTTTCTCTCTTTACATCACTATCTTCTTCATCGAAATCGCTCCTACTCTCCGTTGTCGATCTAGCTTGTCTCTACTCTTCGTCACAGATCTCACTCTCCTTTGCCGATCTTGGTTGTCATTCTTCATCAAACGCTTCTCAATCGCCAATCTTGCTTGCCACTTATTCAATGTTTGATAGAGACAAAATCATAATGTTCAAGATCGAGTGACTACAAGGGATATAATCAGTTTAGAACGATTGACGTTTAGGTGAAACACTGAACCAATAATGTCAGTTCTATTATTTTGAGAATTGATACAGATCGAATTTTTCACTAAATCGTACCAAACTGCACCAATTCAAATGGTTCGGCTCGATGTGGTTTTTAGTTTATGACTTTTTAAATTTGAGTCATTTCTTAAATTTATACTATAATAAATAATTTATATAAAAATATTGAATTAGCCATTTGTACATTACTTCAATATTCAATCCAACCATTCATAAAAATACAAACAAAAAAATTAATAAATACTAAGTGTTTAAGCTTATACTGAAGTAGAATTAGAAACAAAATATAATCTAAAAATCAAAGTATTGACACTTAAACAAAACTAAAGTTTAAAACTATTATTTCATAAGACTAAATCACAAGTTTATTAAGTAGAGATAAAACAAAAAATTGAAAACGACATAAACATCTGATATAGTTATATAGGCCTAGTAGTAGTAAAATTTGACTCAAGCACATATGAGTGGCAAACTAACAACTTATCACATTGCCAATATCTATTGTCAAACCTGAAATATTTAAGAAAAATAAGCAATTAAGTGAATCGCATGAATTTTGTATTCAACCACCTTCATTATATATTTAATATGCAAAACTTTTAGTCAGTTTCGGTTTAATTTGATGCACAAGATGCCTAAACCGGTACTGAGCTGAAAATTGAAAAAAAATAATTTTAAAAACCACACAGACTGATTCATATTAAAAAAACCGACCAAATGTAGCCAGTTTGGTTTGGTTCAATCGATTTGATCAATTTTTCAATTTTTTTACATCCCTAGTAACTACGGTGCCGCCTTAGGGCTTTTGGCGTCTGAAATCACAAAATTTCTCTTATTTTTCTCTCTCTTCATCTTCAATTGGGAGTTTCTCCCACAATAGCAAACTTAAAAAATTTACACTTGATATGAGCCCTAAATTGGCAAAACAAAATTTTTGTTTTGAGTTTTAGATTTGCATTTGTTGCGTTAATTGTGGAGAGAGAAATGACTTTTTGTTTTTGTTTTCTCCATCTATAACAACAGTGCATACATTGAAAGTCTGATTTTCCTTTGATTTTAAACAGAAATGTTAAAATAATAGTACATACATTTTTGCTTTGATGTTGATTTCTTTGTTGTTGTTGCTTGCTTGCTTTTGGCTGTTCTCAGATTCCATCTATTTTTCTGGGGAAAAAAACAAAAAATGTTGGGTTTAGATCTGTCCTTTGTATATGGTTTCTTCTTCTTCTTCTTCTTCTGAGTCTCTCTCTCTCTCTCAATGGATAAAATAAAAATTTAAACAGATAGGAAAAATAAACTTGGTGAGTTTCAATTGATAGGAAAAATAATTTTGCTGAATTTCAATAGATAAGGGAAATAGGCTTGGTAAATTTCAGTAGAGTGTTTGAACCTTTTTTTGACCGGTTTGAACCTATCAATTTCAAAGGAATTCGGTCAACCGGTTGGTCAACCGGGCGAGCAACCGGTTGGTCGACCGGGTCCCCCCTCCAACGGTCACCAACAGTGTTTTGGTGAAATCAGTATTTCGTCATCAGTTTGATAAATTGTTTGATGAAATCTCAATCTGATATTCATTTGGTGCAACCGTTAGAGCAGTGAATAGTAGCTTTTTCATCAAATTTTGAATTTGATATCAGTTTTGATGAACCATTGGAGATGGTCTAATGTCCCTTTAACCAACAAATTTCTCTATCACCAAATTTTTTTCCCCTTGAATCTAATGTCTTACACCCTCTTTAGATTGAACTTTTCACCAGTTAGCCCCTTTTAAAACTATTTAGCAAACTAACTTTTTTTGAAATACAAGTTCAAAATTAGACTTCATCATGAAATCGCACATTAAAAAAATGCAACTTCACGATAAAATAGCATTTTGAAGATACAATTTCATATTGATATGACCGACTAGTGTGTAAATATTGATTAATCGCATCTTTCACCTTGAAATCACATTTTGAACTTGTAATTTTAAAAATTAGTTAATTTAATAAATAGTTTGAAAAGTAAATTATTTTAAAAATAAGATCAAATTTTTAGAATATTCAAAAAATAAAATAAAAATAAACTCCACATTATATTGGTAAACAAAATGGTTGCAACTGTTTGTATACAAAAACTAGATAAATATTAGTGTTCCAAGTAAATTATAACAAAATATGGTAAAGCATAGTGATTATCTTGATTTATTTTATTTTCACACTCATCGCTTCCCTTCCCTACCTTACAAATGGGAGCGTAGAGAAAAATAGTGGGCATATTTACTTTGTTCCATTCTCGTAATATTTGTCAAGGAAACATCACACCATCCCACACGTGATTATGTTTTAATTCACTATGTCCCATATTGGCCCCGTAGGGGCCCACCACAGGTCCCGTTTTGATAATCCGAACCGTTCAATGTATAGAACTTGTCAAGTACTATATATCTGTAAAAAATCACGTTGATCGGATATCGATAGCTATACTTTTTTTGAAATACAAGTTCAAAATTTGACTTCATCATGAAATCGCACATTAAAAAAATGCAACTTCACGATAAAATAGCATTTTGAAGATACAATTTCATATTGATATGACCGACTAGTGTGTAAATATTGATTAATCGCATCTTTCACCTTGAAATCACATTTTGAACTTGTAATTTTAAAAATTAGTTAATTTAATAAATAGTTTGAAAAGTAAATTATTTTAAAAATAAGATCAAATTTTTAGAATATTCAAAAAATAAAATAAAAATAAACTCCACATTATATTGGTAAACAAAATGGTTGCAACTGTTTGTATACAAAAACTAGATAAATATTAGTGTTCCAAGTAAATTATAACAAAATATGGTAAAGCATAGTGATTATCTTGATTTATTTTATTGTCACGCTCATCACTTCCCTTCCCTACCTTACAAATGGGAGCGTAGAGAAAAATAGTGGGCATATTTACTTTGTTCCATTCTCGTAATATTTGTCAAGGAAATATCGCACCATCCCACACATGTGATTAATTAAGTGTTTTAATTCACTATGTCCCATACTGACATAAAGGCAGTAGCTTTGGTCCAGTCCAAGATCGGATTGGACCGTGCTGTTGAGCTCGTGAAGGTCACTACGGATCTTGTTTTGATAATTCGAACCGTTCAATGTGTAAAACTTATCGAGTACTATATGCCTGTAAAAAATCACATTGATCAGATATCGATAGCTATGTGAACAAAATAGTTTTTTTATCAACCGTTAATTGTTTCACCGTCTATTTTTTTTTTAACACAAAACTGATTTGATCACATAGCTATTGATATCCGATTAACGTGATTTTTTACAAGCATGTAATACTCAACGATTTCTACATATTGAACGGTTCTACATATTGAACGGTTCAAATTATCAAAACGGACCCAAAAAATAGACCTCATAGGCCGAACTGGACGAGTCCAATCTTGATCTTAACTTGAGACAAGCAGGACCCTAAGATAAAATATAAATATCAAAATATCATGCAACAAAACAAATTTAGTAATTATTTTTTAAATATTCAATAAAACACACAAAAAATATATATATATATATTGAAAAAATGATAAAACTCAAAATTACAAATTCATATTCATAAATCTCAAATATGTATATATATATTTTTTCTTTCTACAAGTTACCTTTGTATAGTAATATTGAAAAGAAAAAAGAAAAGAAAAGAAAGTGAATATTACCACCATTTTTTGCCAATAAGCAAACCATTTGTAGTCTTGTCTTGCTTAATTGAAAACCACTGGTAGGAAATAAATTGAAGGCTCAAAGAAAAAACAAATGAATACAAGACGTAGAGACTAACTACACAGCTTTCTATCGAAGACAATTACATACAAGCTTTTTAGATTAAGTGGTTGTTTAGGATGACCTAAATAAATACACTTTTTATTTTTTTACGAAAAGATGTGAAGAAAAGTAGAGAGATGATGTGATGAAAAAAAATAAAAAAATAAAAAAATGAATTATTTGGGACTTCCCAAACTTGGCCTAAATAAAATCAGAATATTAAACAATGTAATGGACGAAAGGTGAGCTGTTTTAAAGTATGGATAATCCCCTCAAGTTCAGCAGCACCCACTAGTTGAGGTATCAGACGTGGGAGGTTTTTATTTGAAAACATCCCTTTTGGCACCGGATGAGCCCTCAGCCAAGAGACTTGGTGTTTCCAAAATCTGCAGTTCAACAAGATTACCAGAGTAACATCATAGTTATGAAGCAATACCAACATTAAGTATTCGAGAAATTGAATTGTATCATTGAATTATATCCCCTGTGTTGTGTCGCTTCATCACAAAACAGATTACAAAATATCATAAATCCTTGAGAAGAGTAACAATTCACATCCAATTTTTACCCATTTACTAGATGATGATTCAAAAATTACCCTTCTTTTTACTGAAACATTTTAGTTTTGGTAAAGACACTTGATACTAAAAACCATCTATCATAATGTTTACAATGGCATTCAACCTTGTGCTACTTGACTGAAACGAATTGACAAAATAAATAAATAGTGTTGCAATTACCCAACATTAAGTATTCGAGAAATTGAATTGTATCATTGAATTATATCCCTTGTGTTGTGTCGCTTCATCACAAAACAGATTACAAAATATCATATATCCTTGAGAAGAGTAACAATTCACATCCAATTTTTACCCATTTACTAGATGATGATTCAAAAATTACCCTTCTTTTTACTGAAACATTTTAGTTTTGGTAAAAGACACTTGATACTAAAAACCATCTATCATAATGTTTACAATAGCATTCACCTTGTGCTACTTGACTGAAACGAATTGACAAAATAAATAAATAGTGTTGCAATTACACATGAAAATGTAAATACTGTACACATTCTATCAAAAGATGAAAGTTCTAGAGATACCTGCAGTCAAATATGTCACATTGTGCAATATGATGCACCAACAGTAAAAAACCTGATGGTTGGTAAGTCACCACTTCAATCCATTAATGGTATGTTACGATACTCAATAAAATGTCATGACCGAAATATTTAAGCAATTACAAGCTTTTTATGGTTTCCCACATGATATTTACCTTTCACAATAATAAATTACCCAATGTTGGTCCCTATTTATCATTGATACTGAGAGGGGTGAACAGAAATAGATCTAGCACTTTTTTACCACAAATCTTTGAATTGGTTAATATTGAATTGATAACCACCAACTCATCTAAAAGCTTAAATTATTATGAAATGGGCCCAACAATACATATCAAGCTATTCAATAGTTAATATACTATATATTTCAATAAATCAACATCCGTGTTATGATACTTAAGGAAAAATTATTCGTTGGTCCTAAAACACCACGTGGCTATGTCCTAGGCCAATCACAAACCCCCATGCCCCCTCACGTTTCCTAATCACCTAATACAAAATCGTGACTCTCACCCCTTCCACTAATCACAATGCATGTGGAGCGCTATGTGGCGTTGCCCTTGGACCAACCAATAACTTCTCATGCTTAAGACACCCATGAACAGGAAACTTGGAATTGACACCCCAAGTAGTATATTAAGGTGCTGAAAGTGAACATTCATGAAAACATTTGTGAATGTGTTCAGAATAAATACAATCATATCTTATACCTAAAGATGTGCATTCAGTTTTATCATCACCCTTGCCAAAAAGCCCCATGTCATCAAACAGAAAACCAATCTGGAGAGGTAAGATGACAGGAAATTACATGGGTATGATCGGATCCAAGTAGATACAGCTTACATAAACAACAGATCAGTTTGCTGTGTGATTAATTATATAATGATTTTTGGGTGTTCTTCACAAAAATTCTAACTGAACATGGAGAAAAAGTTACCAAAAATTCGCATACCTTCAAAACAATTTCCTCAAAGCATTGCTCCACATTCACCTGCATTTTTGCACTACATTCAATGAAAAGACATCCATACTCCCTAGCAAAGCCAATTCCCTCTTTTTTTGCGACAACCTTTTCACTTTCCTGGCAAAGCAATAGTTGAGAGGCTGAGTACACCTTTATTTTGCACAAACTTCATCATACTATCCAGTATCCAATAATGCAACATTGGATCATAAATTTGGGAGACAAAGCAAAATTTAACACAATTTCTCAGAAACCAAGTAATTTTATTTGATTTCTCCTAGCACCTGCATAAATTGAAAGAATTCTAAATAAAACTTTTGTATGATGTATCCTATCAATCTTGTTGCCAACAAGCATCTTGATGCAATCTTAATTTGTTAAGTACAGGTCATTTCTTTAGCCCACACATCAGATAGATTTGTAAATGTTTCTTGCCGTGTTACAACATAAACTGTTCAATTCCAAACTCAATTAGGTTCACTGAATATGTGAAGCGTTCAAAATCTTTGAGATGAGGAGACCGTGTGAAAGAATTCAGAAAAACTGCTTGCAGTGATCAGGTAATGTAAATCTTATACAGTTATTTAGTAAACAAAAAAATAACAATTACCAATAAAAATGCTTATAATATTAAACTTAAATACAAAAGGACTTTAAGAGAACCAATTGATTGGGATTTAAACATCAGGAGACTGAGGCCTGCACGAGGTATGCAAGAAACAGGGGGCTTCTTGATCTCTCCTAATAAGGTTAACTCAAATGTTAAAACTCTGAGATGTGCAAGTATCTAAACTTCAAAATAAATACATAAAACTCAACTCAACAAAATCTGCTCCCAACTATTTCTTTCGCCAGTTGTCTGTCCTGGGCCATAACTCATAAGAAATTAATAAACAGATAAATATAGTTAAGCAGCAATACAACATAGAACATTGCCAGGCCAACAGGAATCTTAGACAAGTTAGCAGCCAGAAAAGTGTACAGATTGCGTATGAATCAATTACGGATAGCTTACATACCATATGTAAATCAGACCTGAAGTGGCACACATTAGCAGCTGCACATTTTGACAACCTAAAATAAATACAAAGACAACAATTTGGTGTCCAAACTCTCACACTTAACTATATCCACTGCACAATGAATAGACTATTTAGTTCATTTGGGTCATAGTTCTAAAAAATTACCCATGTGCGGAAGTTCTTGCCAAATGATTCCATCTCAACTTTAATAACTCAGAAGGTTGTGACTGAATAACCAATATACATGATGGGGAACACTGCAAAAGGAAAAAATGGGGGAGGAGAGGGACACTACAACCAGTCACAAAATATCAAGCTCCGTGTGCATAACTTGAGGATTTTATCATACAGAAAGTAACACTGAAGGCACATATGTCAAAATTAAATCGATACAGAAAGGGACTAAAGTTAGATAAACAATGAAGAACTAGAGAACTTACCCGTTATTATTCCTTTACCTCCTCTATAATATGAACTAGTTAGTGTTCTGAATCTTTCATGTCCAGCTGCACCATGATAAATAAAAAATCTTAACCAAACAAACCTTTTTTAGCAGTTAAAGACAGTATCGAACATTGACAAATCCAACTCTTGCATTGAGCATTAACCTCAAAAAGTGAACCAAAGCAAGGAACTTTCCCATCCTAACAAACACTCCATTTTCCTGCCCTACTAATTTTATAAGTTTTTAGCTGCATGGAGCAACATAATAATAAACAGTTCTATACTCTCTGTTTGCTTCCACTCTCTTCATTTCCCCTCTCTTTTACTCTTAGAGACAAGAATTTTATTAGAGAACAAATTGATAGTACGTTGGAATTTGGGCCTCCCTCTAGGCACAGTTACATAAGTCCTTAGAATTTCCTAATTTTATAAGTTTTTAGCTGCATGGAGCAACATAATAATAAACAGTTCTATACTCTCTGTTTGCTTCCACTCTCTTCATTTCCCCTCTCTTTTACTCTTAGAGACAAGAATTTTATTAGAGAACAAAATGATAGTACTTTGGAATTTGGGCCTCCCTCTAGGCACAGTTACATAAGTCCTTAGAATTTCACATATGTTTCTCTGCACACATTTGATAAACCTAAGGCTGCATTACATTTCCATCCTAACCACAGAATTTACTTCTTGGCACCAAACTCAAGATATTTTGCTATTTTAGGCATCCCAATAACTATCTTTGCAACAAGGATTCATAATTTTGAATAATACAATTTATGTTTCTAGTTTGTTTAACTTCTTTTTTTTTTTTTTTCTAATTTAATCGTCAAATAATCTAGTCTCTTTCTTAATTCTGCATTGCAATACTTTATCCTACAAGGACCAACAGATTGTAATGAAGTAGGAAGTAGGATGATCTAATAATATCTATATACATTTCCCACATACTTCCCAATCTTCCTACTAGTCAACCCCAAGGGGTCATATCACATGCACAATAGTAATTTGGAAACCACGCATTATGCATACTCACAAAAGTTCCTGGTATTAAGCATAAAAAACATTAAGGATATGAAAGGGGAAATTCTAGGATTTTAAAAGAAAACAGAACATAGAGGAAAAGAGGGCCACCAGAGAGTGGAAGAAGAACAAAGGCAACAACAACCAGGAAGAAGCAGCATCATGGTACTCAACTATTCATTCTTACCCACAAGGATCATGCCCATCTATTAATGGTATTTTTCTTCTCTTTTTCTGCCTTTTACCAATTAAATTTTATTATAATCATTTGCCTTGTCAACTGAAATGTAATAAAGCTTACTTTTTATTATATCAGCAAATGATTACAGTATGATAATTGCAATTAGTTTAGCTCATATCCAGTACTTTCAATAAGTATATTTGCTTATTAGAGTTAAATCTAGTTTCTTGTATAGAAGGAAAGCAATATCAAAACAAATGCCCAAAACAAGAACTACAATAATTCAAAGATTGATGAGACACTAAGTCAAAGAAAACCTTTGCAACAAATCCAAAAGAGAGATTTCACCAAGTGTCTATTGATACAACATATTTATTTCTTTTCCTTCTGTTTTGGGTTCTCATCCACTTTACTTTTTCTTTTTTAATTTTTTTAAAACTTAATTTAATGGAGGAGAATTACCTGTATCCCAAA